CTTAGCCAAGCGCAGTGAACTGAAACCACTCACCACTGCACTGGCACAAGCAAACATAGCATATCGCTGGGGACACCCATTCAAACTACTGGTTCGCAAGCAAGACACCACCCATGTCCTTCAAGACATCTCCAAGATGGTGACCTTCGCGGCAACACTGGGCATCCGACTACCAGAAGCAACGGTCAGACCTACAATCCCGCCAACAACAAACCGAACACCACGAACACCACTCTGGGAAAGACCCCAGCCGCATCGAAACCGACCACCTAAACAGCACCTACAGACCACCCCCCACGCCCGTGACCGAGACCCGTGACCACTTCAAGGCTGGCACCCACCAAACACGACAGCCGACCTGCAGGGAACACCACCCGAGGCATGGCGAGATCAACGAACTAGAACTCTACCTATATCCTTTTCTAGCTAATCATTTTACTTTATTTACAGCAAAAACCTAGTAAGACAACTAGGGATGGACACCGGGACATTCTCTTACTAAATGGAGAGGGGGTCCCTGGGGTAAGGGGGAGGGGGGGAGCTGCTGGGCAGCTGGGGGGGAGGGAAAAGGTGGGGGAGAAGCAGAACAAGGGGAGCTACCTGGGAAATGGGGGAGGGAGAAGGAGCAATCTGTGTATATCAAGGTTGACATGTGTACATTCAGACACTGCCCTGCACTGACCCCAGGACCCTATAAGGCCACCACCAAGACCACCACAGAGGCCCAAAAGGTAACTAGAGACCCTGGCCAATTCACGGCTTCCGGAGCCCCCCCCCGCCACCTACGCACAGACCTTAACCCACATGTGCCCGGGGCCGGCTGCACTCTGGGGCTACCCCACACCATGCCCCATGTCACGAGGGACAAGAGTAATCCATATCACCCAAGTTGGGATGATCCTGTACACCCCACAGCATCACGCCTGACACGAGCCCTAAGACCAGGGCCAGATTAAGAGCCCAGTGGGCCTGGTGCTGACAATTATGATGGAGCCTAAATACAGAATCTTATCAACCAAAAACACGAAAACAGTCATACCTCCCAAGCGTCATGTATTTGATAGAGATGGTGTTGGAGGGAAACTCAAAGGATGCAGCTATGAGAAAACACATACTCTATGCTAATCTCTCTCTAATTTATGCTTTCATCTTTGAAGTAAATCCATACCCCCTAACAGCAGTGTCCAGTGAAGCAGGAAGTCAATGGGTGGGGTAAAAGAGTGGGCCTAAAACATGAATCACGTGACCAGAACTGCCAAAAGGGGTGAACATGCCCAAAAAGGGAACATGTCTGTCCAAAGAATTGGAAGGTCAGCCTGACATTAGTGTCCCTATGTATTAAAGTGTCAGTGTCCCCGTGTCGCCAGTTCCCTAGTCTCCCAGTGTCTCAGTGTCCTCATTTCTCTCTGTGTCCCCATGTCTCAGTGTTTCCCGTGTCACTAGGATACTAGGGGACACAGAGACATGTGGACACAGTGAGACATGTGGACACAGACACCTGGGGACACTGAGACATGGGGACACTAAGACATGGGGACACTGGGAGACATGGGGGCACTTGTGGATACAGACATGGGGACACTGGGAGACATGGGGGCACTTGTGGATACAGACATGGGGACTCTGAGAGACATGGGGACACAGAGATATGGGGACACAGACACTAGGGACACTGGCTGGGAGGCATGGGGACACTGAGACACTTGGGGATACTGAGACATGGGGAACTTGTGGACATAGACATGGGGACACTGAAAAATTTGGGGACACTTTGAGACATGGGGACACTAGGGACACTGGCTTGGAGACATAGGGACACTGAGACACTAGGGACACTGGCTGGGAGACATTTGGACACTGGTAGACAGATATTTGGGGTCACTGGGAGACATGGGGACACAGACACTGGGAGACTAGGGGACACTGGGAGCCGTGGGGACACTGAGACACTAGGGACATTGGCTGGGAGACATGGGGACACTGGGAGACATGGGGACACTGAAAAATTTTGGGACACTGGGAGACATAGGGACACTGAGACACTAGGGACACTGGCTGGGAGATATAGGGACACTGGGAGACATGGAGACACTGAGACACTAGGGACACTGGCTGGGAGACATTTGGACACTGGGAGACAGATATTTGCGCACACTGGGAGACATGGGGACAATGAGACACTAGGGACATTGGCTGAGAGACATGGGGACACTGGGGGACATGGAGACACTGTCTCCACCCTGACACTACTCCTATCCCTTGACGCCGAAAAGGCATTTGACAGACTGCTCTGGTCATTCCTTTTCGCTACTCTAGAGAGATTCAGCTTCCCCAAACCTTTCCAGGATGCACCACGAGATGACCTCTTACTGTAATTCACAGACCCACTACGCACCATGCCATCGCTCCCACAGCTTTTAGATGACTACTCAGGGTACTGACTGAACTTGGACAAAACAAAAGCACTAATGCTGAACATCGAGTCACACCATAAAAACTTATTAAAAGATACATATACCTTTAAATACAATACCTCACACATATTGTACCTAGGCATCACACTACCAGCGGAACTACACCGCACATCTGCCTTTAACTTCACCCCAATGATACGAAAAGCAACGGACGACCTACTCATCTGGAGGGACTTGTCTTTGTCCTGGCTGGGTCGCCTAGCCTCAATAAAAATGAATCTGCTGCCATGCTTTCGCTACCTCTTCCAAACCCTCCCCATCCCAATACTCACCTCGGATTTTAAATACTTACAAACACAAATAGACAAATTGATCTGGTCGAACAAATGACCCAGAGTGAAACGAACAACAATGTACTTCCCCAACAGAACAGGAGGACTGGGCCTACCCCATCTACAACATTATTATCACTCGACCCAACTTACCCACATACAAAACCTACATGCCCCACCAGGAGCCAAACGATGGGTAGAGTTGGAACACGACCTCTTTGGCTTCGACTTCCCCTCCCTCTACCTCTGGGTAACATGAAAAGCTCGTCCCACACCCCCACCCACACCTCCAACACTATCAAACTCCATCACTGTATGGGACAAACTCACCAAGAAATTCCCCATTATTAACAACCCAACATCGCTGACCCCCATAATGCGCAACAAAGACTTTCAACCAGGCATGACTCCTAAGGACTTTGCACACTATGAACACAATGACCTCTACAGGCTCTATCACTTCTTCGCTGAAGGGAAGCTACTACAGTATAACGAACTACCACAACAACCCCAACCATACAACACACATGCCTTCTTTAGATACATACAGCTAAAGAGCTTCCTAGAAATTCCAGTGCACACAACAGCAGCCACCACCAAACTCACAACCTTCGAACGAGCATGCATGCACAACCCAACCCGCAAGGGCCAGATCACAGATAACTACCTATTACTGATCACCACCCTGCCCCAGGGTGCATTGGCCTATGTGGCGGCCTGTTAGAGGGACCTGGGACCACCAGATGACCCGACAGACTGGCAGGACATCTGGGAGGCCACCGCATCCATATCTATCTGCGTAAACCATAAGGAACAGGCCTACAAAATATTGCTAAGATGGTACCAAACACCTACACAACTGTTCCAAACGGGCAGGTCCGATTCAGACCTGTGCTCGAAGCGATGCGGGCATAGAGGCACATATATATATCCATCTATGGTGGCAATGCCCTAAACTGGCACCGCTGTGGGCAAAAGTAGCACAACTTGTCTCCGACCTTACAAATAGAATGACCCTGGCAACTAGAAGGGCAATAGCGGAACTCTGGGACACCCCAAACGTACCCACACTCACTGCAATTATACGCAATACCAGGGAAGCTGTGGAGATGGATAGACTCTCCGCCAAGGTCCACGAAACCTCAAAGCAATTTTACAAGATATGGGACCCATGGTTAAACGATCCCTCCCTAGCATAAACAAACCACACAACAAAAGGACCCGCGAAACATTAGGCCGCAAACCCAGGCAACACACACACACACCACAAGAGGGGACCCTGGGATGGAACACAAACTCGCAGCCCTCGGCCCAGGAAGCGGCTGAACGCCCATGAGGGTACCCGGATAGGAGACACACTCATAAACCCAACACAAAAGACCTCTTCCCAGCCTACACAAAAAGCCTGTAAAAGGCAACTCCACAACTAGCCCACACACGCAACCGAAACCCCAAATAGGAACCCTCAGAAATCTCAATAGACCCAAGACCCAACCCCCAAGACCAACTATTACAATTGTTTGTACTTGAAGTTAAACGTATGTTTACATTTTGTTACTATGCTATTCATGTTATTTATGTTGATATACTATGGACATCTAAGAAGGTGCCTGCACGAAAGGTATCCACTGACCAAAACATCGCAACGCCACACAGGCACACAAACCAACCACAGAAAGGGAACCACACCAGCTACCCACTGAACATGACGCACAAACAAAAGAGACGCAATGTCATTGTACGACGGCACAAACCCCACAACAAACATATCAGCTGACAAACAGACGGAGGGATAAATAAGCGACCAATGTTCTGCCTAACACGTTTCCTTTGTGTAAAGCTCAATCTTTAAGTGTGAAAAACTCAATAAAAACAGAATGTAAAAAAAAAAAAAGAAATATCGCCGGTATCGCATAACCCCCCACACATGAGCCAAGGCTTAATGCTGGGAGAAGATTGACTTTAATGGAAGCACAGGCATCAAATTTATACAGTCAGTAAGCTCCTCCTCCTGAACCTGGGAGATAATTGAGTCAGAGACTGTACTAAACTCAATTATCTCCAGGTACAGAAAAAGGTACAATATTGCAACACCCCAAAAGTACCCCCAATATACAAGGGAACCCCACAAACGTCACATCCCTTGGTAGCCTGGATCTTGGTTAACAATATATCCGAAAATCACCCAGATCCGTATGGTAGTTTGCGATCGGCACCGCAGGGAAGATCTAACCGGCCTGTCACGAGGTCGAAGCTCAGAAATAGTTCCATGGAAATTGTGTCAAGAGCCGGTCTCCATTCATGAGGTTTTTCATGAAACTCACATAAAATATAGACAAGTTGGTACGTGGAGAATGCTCCCTGTGTTCGGTAGTCTGGAATTCCCGAACGCCGTTCATCTAGGTGAACGAGAACTAGAACAGGCAGTAGATCCATAGAGACTGGTGTTTGTGAGAATACCTGGCCGAAATGAGTTCCAGGCACTCGACGACCAGGTCCCGCTGACAGCCGCCATCCCTTGTCCCAACCACGTGTATTTGTATCTACAAAATGGAGCATTCTATTAATGATTTTCTGATGGTTTTCGAACAAGATACATATCGCTCATATGTTCTAATTGGTCTCTGGGGTGGTCTCGGTTCGGGAACCGAACAAAATAACAAACAAGACAAGAAAATGATTACAAACAAAATGAAATAGCTGAACAGTGATGTGGTACTCCTTCACAGGAATCATCTCACCTGCTCTGTAAATTGTTATTTTGAAGTCTAGTCTATGTACTATAATTGATAATTAAGCATGTCCTAATTTTGCTATATTCTTGTGATGCAATTCTAAAACAAGATTATAACCATTCATGCATTATTATTTCAAGACCTTATTGCTGCAAAAGACTGCCAAAGTTAATTTCCTTTATTTAAATAAAATATATATTTTTAAAGTGACGGTATCAAATGTATTATTTCATCTGCAGTTGCGTTCCAAATACATTTTTTTGCCGAGAGCACTGTACACCACACACAGTGTACTCCTCACACACACTGCATCCCAAATACATACACTGTACCCCTCACACACACTACACACTCACACATTGCTCCCCTCACACATATTGCACCTCCCACACACACACACACACACACTACTGCCCCTATCCCCTACTACAGCCCCTTGTAGCAGACTCATTCCCTATCTGTTCATTTATCTGTACCACCCCTTGTTAGTTTCCCTAATGGACAGTGTGTGGTCACCCTTTTTATACCTCCCCGAACACTGACCACCCTAGCTGTTAACCGCAATTAAGTATTAATGCTTTCCCTGGGTGACTACCATTCGTATAAACGAATGTACATGCTAGACTGAATGACGGCCATTTTGTCTCCCGAATAAAGGCAGTGGTACATGGTCGTCGAACGCCTGGAATTATTTTCGGCCACACAATCCCACAAACCTGGTCAAAGTTTGTATCACTGGCTGTCCCACTTCCCAAACAGGTAGGCGAATTACATTTGGGAGATAGGAACTACCGACTGGGGGGAGCATTCGCACCCTAAAAGCCAGGGGAAGCATTCGTCGGTGTTCGCACAGGAACCCCCGAAAGTCAGAACTTTACCTGAATGACTGAGTGCTATTTGGACAACTTGGGAGTTCAGATCCGGGCTATTCGGGGATATAAGACTTGTGGGGTTTCTGTGAAATATGATAATGTTTTGAGGTGATTTATGTATTTTTCATGTAGTTTCCTGTAACTGAGAGAATTGATTTACCAAGTTTTGACTCAATTATCTCCCAGACACAGGGACGCCTGGGAGGGATTTGTGTTGTTTTGAATGGAGACCCCATGTTGGGGGTCTGTGCATAAAAGACTGAGTTTGTGCTGAATAAATCAGTAGTACTCCCAGAACTGTGCGTCGTCCAGTTACTGGGGAGGGATAGAGCTATTCACGTCACAGCACCTTGTTCCAGAGTTCCTGTCTTCACGGATTTAGCAGAAGAAGAATCCTGGTCAGAACTAGCGCTCTGCTGCACCTCTATCCCAACAGACCCCAGGTAAGTTCCTAAACGGTTTGACTACTTACTCTGGGAGGGTGCCATGGCACTCCTGGCGCCATAACTATTACAGAGGGCTGTAGTGGCTATTGTCGTGGATTGCCCATTTAAATAAAATACCAGTGCCTCTTCCGAAATTAGATTCTTGATCTACCCCTGTGCTAGGAGGATGTTAGTACCTGTTACTTCCTCCCAGCTAGAGAGAGCTTCATGGGAAAGAGAGGAGGCACATAGCAAGGTTGGGTAAAGGGACAAAAGAGGCAGCAGACTGTCATCAACCTCAGCCAGCAGCAAGATTCCATTCGACCCCAGGGAGTCCACTCTGCTGCACCCAAAGGTTATAGAAACAGGAGGGTGGCTAAAAATATCTAAATTGTGTGTGGTTTTTTTATCTGTATATCTGTATGTGTGTCATTGTGTATCTCTATGTGTGTATCTGTGTGTGTGTCAATGTGTGTATATATGTGTATTTGTGTGTCAGTGTGTTTGCCCCCACTACACACTACATCCCTTATACATACAGTGCACCCAATATATAAAAAATACAATTGACCCCCATCTACACACACTATACACGCTATACACATACTATAACTCCTACACACACTCACTATACCTGCTATACAGACGGTGTATAAACATGCACTACACAAGTATGCAAATTTTACATCCCCTATACACACAGACTATATCTCTATTATGGAAACAATATACCCCTTATCCCCACACACAAACCCTACTGTAAACACGTACACAGACTATGTCCCATGCATTATACACCCCTTATGTACACACACTGTACCCCCGTACACAAACACTAGAGGCCCTATACAAAAACACATGCACACAACAATACTTAATACACACAATACATTACAACTCCTAATTTATATAACATGGTAAATATAACATAATAGTCCTCACTTCAAATATAGGTCAAATATGGGTATTCACAAGTTTGCCTAAATCACATACAATTTACTTGAACACAGTTTTACTGGTTGAGACTGGTGAATTCCCCAGATCTCCTAGCATACAACAATGAATTGAGAGCTGGTGTAAGTGAGCAGTCTGCATTTGTTCTGTCCTTTTCTGTGGTGGGCTCTGCCCATGCCCCATTAACAAGACCTCTTTGGTCATCCTCAACCCCCTTTTATTCACTCTCTCAGGCTTTCTTCCTTTTTCCTTTTTTTTGTAAAGGAACAAAGAAATGGTTAGGAATACAAATATGTATCCCTAATGCTAGAAGACAGGCCTATTTAATTCTGTTACGTAAGCATTGCCATATCTACTAAATGCCAACGTAGCGTTGCAGGGTTGAAACTAAAGGGTCACTGCATCCAGATCACTTTTAGTCATCCTTTACCATTGCTAAATGGATTTCAAGATTATCCTTATAAAAATATGTCAAGTCACACAGTCTTTCTGTGTGCCATCCAATTCGCCTTCAGTCCTCCTGATCAACCGACTCGATCATCTGGCTCTATCACCTTGTGTCGGGGGGACTGAAGAAACGTGTCAATCAAGCGCATTATTATCCAAAGTCAGCAAATGTATTTAGTATAGTAAGGTAATTATTTTACAAAGTATTGCTGATCATGACATGTGTCAATATTTATTGTCCTTACAGACCTCTAGAAGCCGCAGTCCTTATCGTCGTAGAAGTCTATCTCCAAGTAGGCAGCGTCATCGTGCGTGTCTCACAACATCAATGTTAAAATCTTGAAAGAGAGAATTAACCAGTAGGTTAAGGTTTTGGGCCATTTAAATCTGTCCAGAGCTCACACATTGCAACACAGCCGAACAACCTTTTCTAGTCTTGCAATTTCTCCTTTTCAAGTCACGAACTGCAGCAGTATCCAATGTAACTATCTGTTACCAAAACTATAGCATTACAAAACCTAGAACATGCTAGCAATAAAATATAAGACTCTCTGGTATTGATTTATGATGCATTTTTATAGACTAATTTGTATTTGTTTATTTTTATTTATTGCTGAATGTTTCTGCATTGTGTGAAATGATAGGGTAACAAAAATGAAAATATGTTCGATCATCCATCCATCTGTCCTTCCCTCCCTTTCTTCATGGTATAAGTTCTGACCCCATATATTAAAATGAGAGGCTGCTGATTAGTTGAGCCATTTCTAGCAAATGAGCTATCTGCTTGCTACTGACACTTTTAATGCCAGTATAATAGTCTAGGTACCTTAAACGTTATTTATTCAGTTTTTTTCTTGCATTAACAAAATGGGGGTTCAGTTTGCACCATTGTGCTTGTTTAACCCCTCAAGGACCGCAGACGTACTAGGTATGTTCGGAAAAAAAGTCCTTATATGGACTCTCCAGTGCCAGGAAAACAATCAGTTTTCCTGGCACTGCAGGTCCCCTCTCCCTCCCACCTCCCATCTTAGGATTCAGATTTACTTACTTGATGCTAACCCTTGACAGCATTATCATACACGGACTCTCACTCTAAACTTGGGAGTGTCAGTCTTGCATTATTTCTGCTTTTTTCCCCTCTTGTTTTTCCCCCCTCTTTCTTTTGTATCTGTTTCACTATGAACACTGTGATACAAAGTATCAAATAGTATTGCTAAATTCAGTAAACTGCTACTATTACAGCATCTCTACTAGACATGTGCAATTCGTTTCGTTATGAATGCAAATTCTGACGCATTTTGGAAATTCTGACATTAGAATGCTTCTGAATGTACAAAGTGCCGAATTTCGGAATGCCGAACCGAATTGCCGAAGTGACGAAAAAGTGGCAAAAACAGGAGAGGGTTGGGGTTAGGGGTAGGGTAAGTGGTTGGGGTAGAGGTAGGGTTAGGGTTAAGGGTTGGGGAAGGGTTAAGGGTTGGGGTATGGTTAGGGGTTGGCGTAGGGTTAGTGGTTGGGGTCGAGGTAGGGTTAGGGGTAGGTCTAGGTTTATGGGTAGGGTTAGAGTTTAGAGTTGGGGTAGGGTTTGTGACTGGGGTCGGGGTAGGAGTTGGGGTAGGGTTAGTTGTTGGAGTAGGGTTAGGGGTAGGTTCAGGGGTAACGGTAGGGTAGGGTTAGGGGTTGCGGTAGGGTTAGTGGTTGGAGTAGGATTAGGGGTAGGGTAACCCTACCCTAACCCTACCCCTAACCCTACCCTTAACCCTACACTTAACCCTACCTCTAACCCTAGACCTACCCTAACCCTACCCTATCCCTACCCCTTACATAATCATACCCCTAACCCTACCCTACACTTACCCGAAGTGCCGAAGTCCAGAAGTCCCTAATTTCAGAATGCCGAACCGAACCGAATATTTTTCCCATGCACATCCCTAATCTCTACACTGATTCATAGAGTACCAAATATCACTGCCAAATATAGCATACTGCTACTATTACAGCATTTATACACTGCTATAATTGTTACTAACATCAAGGACTGTTCTCTTAATTAATTTGTATTTTTTATTTTTCATTTA